TTTAAGAATACCTAACTCAGGCGTGGTACCTGTAGCACAGTGGATACAGCACCAGCCACATGCACTGAGGCTGGCGGGTTCAAACCCAGCCTGGGCCAGCTAAAAAACAACCAGGCGTAATAAGTTTTTTTGCAATAAAACATAGCTGGGCATTGCTGTGGGCACCTCTAGTCCCAGCTACTTGGGAGGCTGAGGCAAGAGACTGGCTTAAGCCCAAGAGTTTGAGGTTGCTATGAGCTGTGACACAATAGCACTCTACCAAGGGAGACATAGTGAGAGACTCTGTCTCAAGAAAAAGAAATACCTAAATCAAAGTAGACCATGTCTATGAATCAGATGCTTCCATATTGTTAAGATGTCAGTTGTCCAAGTGAGCTATATATTCCATGTGATTCCCATCAAAATTCCAGCATAGAATCCATAGACCCACACAACATGGTGGTAATGGTTAATTTCATATGTCAACTTGGCTGGGCTAAGGGATGCCCAGATAGCTGGTAAAGCATATTTTGGGGTGTGTTTGTAAGAGTGTTTCTGTGAGAATTTAACATTTGAATCCATTGACTGAGTAAAGAAGATCACCCTTCCCAATGTGGGCAGGTGTCGTCCAATTCACTGAGAGCTCAAATAGAGCAAAAAAGGCAGAGGAAGGATAAATTTTCTCTCTCTGCTTGAGCTGGGACATCCATCTCCTGCCCTTGGACACTAGTGGCTCCCCTGGTTCTTAACCCTCTGGGTTTGGACTGGAATTACACTATAGCAGTGTTTTTCAGCCTTTTGTCTCACAACACCCTTGTCCCTATAGTTAAACTTCTGTAGCACACTTATGTTGATTAAAAAAAAAAAGAATATACTTACTGTGCTTTGAACTTTTTCTGAAAATAATTCAATTAATGTTCTTAAAATTTTTTTGTGGCAGACTGGCTGAAAATCACCGCACTACAGGTTTTCCTGCATCTCATTTCGACAGTTTCTTTATAAATTAAATGTTACAAGTTAATAAGTTACTCTTAAAATTTTACAGGTTAAACATATGCTTTCCATACCACCCAGTGGTGCCTCCCTATGTATTCACACGGGAAACACAAACACTCGTCCACAAAACGGGCTTATCCAAACATTCGTAACAACTTTATTCAAAATAAGCTCCAAACATACACCCAAATGTGTATCCAGTAGTGAAAGGATAAATGAATTATGGCATAGGAAGGAATACAATGGAATATACTAGACCACGAAAAGGAATGAACTACTCACGGCGTTCGTGCATGAATCAACTGGGATAGATCTAAAAAGCACTGTGCTACGTGAAAGAAGCCAGGCCCCCAAAAATGACACCTCGGGTAGTTTCATTTATATGATACTGTGGAAAAGGTACTAGCATAAGGATAGAAACCAGGTCACTACTTGCCAGGGCTGGGGGTGAGGAGGAGGATTGATAGGAAACGGGCATACAGGGCAACTTTTTGGAGTGATGGAGATGTTCTATATCTTGATCGTGCTGGTGGTTACCTACTGCAAAGATTTATCACATTTTTTTTATTTTATTAAGTCAAATACACATAGATCATGAATACATTCATGCATATGTGGGATACAATGTGCTGATTTTTTTTTATACAATCTAATGTGGTTACATTAAACCAATCAACATAGCTTTCACCTCCTTTACTTGATTGTGCCAAAACAGCTATGTTCTACATTTCACAGATTTGACTTGTACCCTTGTCATATGTTCCATAGGTGTGGTCCCACCTTTTACCCTCCCTCTCCCCCTCCCCCCCCTCCACTACTCTCCATCATCCTGGGCTATAGTTGTGTTCTATTTTTTATAAGAAAGTGTGAGTAAATATAAGTAGGTTTCATAGAAGTACTGAGTACATTGGACACTTTTTCCTCCATTGATTTATCACATATTTTTAAGTGAATTTCCTTTGCAAATAATATTACTTGTATGTAAAATAATTTTTAAAAAATATCTCATAACCTAGGCAATGGGAGATCTCTGTCTACCCAAGCTCGCTGGGAAAATGCTGTACTTGGAAACCCTCTGTCCGCCCCCTACCACCCCAACTAGTGGTTGGTTTGATTCCCGGCATTGACATTTACTACTTGAGTGAAATTTTACAGCTCTCTGAGCCTTATTTACTGATAATCCCTTAGGAAAAGATGCTGCGTGCAGTGTCTGGCACAGTTATTTCTTTTTTTTTTCCCATTCAAATTTCCTTTATTATTTCTTATAGCATAACTGTGTACATTAATGCAATCATGGGGTACAGTGTGCTGTTTTCATATACATTTTGAAATACTCTCATCAAATTGGTTAACATAGCTTTCATGTCATTTTCTTAGTTATTGAGTTAAGACATTCATACTCTGCTTTTAGAAAGATTCACTTGTACCCTTGTAGGATAAACCATAGAGGTGACCCCACTGATCACCCTCCCTCCCCCCATCCACCCCCCTCACTTCCCCTCTCCCACCCCCCTTCCCATATTCTAAGGCTATAATTAGGTTATAACATTCCTATGAAAACTATGAATTAGTACAGTTATTTCTTATAATTTCACTGTGCCTGTCTCCGCCTCCCTAGACTGCAGGCTGCTGGAGGGCAGACGAGACCCTTTTCTTATTTGACTTCTCTCCCCACCCTCTTGCCCACCAAAAAGCAGCAGCAGGAGGCCTCTGAGACTCCCTGGCCTTGGCTGGGATGATGCTGGAAGGAACTTACGGACAGCTGGAGGCCCCCAGGCAGAGCCTTACTCTCTCAGGTGAAGGCCTGTTTTTGCTGTCAGCCCCTCCACCACACACACCCCTGGGAAAGTGATGCCCTAGGACCGGCACTTCCTTATCCTCCCAGAGAGGTGGAGGCTGCTCACAAGTCCAGTGTCCTGGGACAAACTCAGAGTGGCAGGAACCCCCGCTGCATTCCTGGCTCTTGGGCCCCTTGTGCACCTGGGAAACCTTTAGACAGTGGGAATTGGGAGGGTTTAAAGATACCTCACCTGTAGTGCTGTGGGCAGGGGATACAGGTCACAGAGTCGCAGGGGACTAATCCTGGACAAGAACCCTGGACCAGGAATCTGGGATGGAGTCTACTTCTACATGTGCTGATACTGGTGGGGTTCACAAGTAATGCACTGGGAAATGATTTGGTCAGAAATTTTGTAGGTCCCAGGGCAAAACCATTATCCTTTAGTTGCTTAACTTTCCTCCTGCTGCACCTATGTCCCATCTGATAGGGGATAAGTGCAAGCCAAAAGGTTAAAAGGGGCCATGGGAAATCCATCTAATATCTATTTATCTTTTTCAGATTTGGGGGCATTTACCTGACAATTGATAATTTCAGTGAGGGATAAAGGGAAGTTTGTAAGCTCGGTGGGAAAAGAATAAGGCGGTCTGTGTTTGGCTGTGTATCCAGCAGCCCTGCCTGCCCTGTCCTTCCCCAGAGATAAGAGTCCCAGTCTCCTAGTATGGGATGGGCTATGAACAAGAGCAATTTTAGGGCGGCACCTGTGGCTCAGTGAGTAGGGCACTGGCCCCATATACTGAGGGTGGCGGGTTCAAACTCGGCCCTGGCCAAACTGTAACACAAATAGCCGAGTGTTGTGGCGGGTGCCTGTAGTCCCAGCTACTCGGGAGGCTGAGGCAAGAGAATCGCCTAAGCCCAGGAGTTGGAGGTTGCTGTGAGCTGTGATGCCACGGCACTCTACCGAGGGCGACAAAGTAAGACTCTATCTCTACAAAAACAAAACAAAACAATTTTAGTAGGAAAGTGAATAGCCTGTCACAAGGCAGCAGTTATATGTTCAGTAGCTGTAGGAGTACCAGCAGAAGTTAGGAACCCACGGGATGTCCATCAAGCGTACTGGTTTCCAAGGGCCTATCTGGAGTCAGTATAAAGAGTGGAAGTTTTCCTCTTGGCAGTGTGCGAGCTCTAATAAGAGCTAGAAGTTTAGCAGTTGGGCTGACTTTATAGTGGGCAAAGAGTATGCCTTAAGTGTTTCATGTGGCAAAACTATTTTTCCATGGTTATTATGTTTCTCTTAAAATTCCATTTATAAGAGCCATCACAAAATAGCAATAAGCTTGAGTTGTCTAAAGAAGTGTCTGAGAGATGCTCTTCTGGCTTTGAAACTATTTTTACAGCTGCCAGGCAATCACGTGGAATGGAATAAGGCTCTCCACTGCCAGGGAGGGGCAGGAGGGTAGCAAGGCTTAAAGTGTTACACTCCAATTGCCATGTTGCTAAATCCTATGCTTTTCAGAACTGTAACCAGAGAGGGCTGCTGTTGGTAAGGCAGTAAAGTGCAGCTGGTAAGAGCCAGGGATTCCAGAACCAGACCTCTGGGGTTTGGATCCCAGCCGTGCCACTCACTGTGTGACTTTGGACAAATTCAGTTGCTTCAACTGATTCATCTACGAACATTTGACCTCTTTGGGGAGAATCAAATATAGTGCCACATATAAAGTGTATAGAACAATTCACATGGCTCTCATCCTCAGCTTTTACCTAAGTTGCTGCCTCAGTGGCCAGCACATGGGAGGAACTCAAGAACCGGCAACAGTGACCATTGTAAGGAGGCCCGTGGGTTCCCTGACCTCTGCTCTAACCTACCCGGAGCCCTGTGTGTCTTGGCTCCTGCAGGGGCAGAGACCCTTTCTCAGGCATCACACATAAAAGAACCAGGTAAGCCCCACATGGACAGCCGCACTGGGCTTTCTCTGTGGGAGCAGGCCTGGTTCCCTGCAATCCTTCTGTTCTGGAGTAAATGACCCCAAATACAGTCCTATTCCTGCTAGGAGACTGGAATTGTCCTCTCAAAAGAAAGACAGGAGTTTATTTAGCAGACTCTTTGCATTAGGCAATTAGGTGCCACTGCGGGGGCGGTAGAGACAGAAACTACCCTGAATGTGGGGCCATGCTTGAGCAACGCAGGCAAAATTGTAGGGGTTCCTCAGCTCTCTGCCACTGGCTTCAATGTTTCCTCCTCTGTGTCCTAGCTTGAATGCATCCGAAGAACTTGTGCTGTCCCGATGTACTCTGGGGGAAAGGGAGAGGTGGCAGGCAGGAGAGGATGAGGAAAGGTTGGGCCAGGCCTCTAACATGGAGTTTCATGGGAGCCCCGGGCAGATCCCTTTTCCCAGAAAGTGCATAGGGGGAGCCTGAGTCAAGCCTGGGTTCTGCTCTCGGCTCTGCTAGCGACATGGGATGAGCAGATTCCTTTCTTGGAGTCTCTTCACCACCCTCTCTTCTTCTAACCTCCAAGTAACAGATCTCAGTTACGTGTGTATGCTGTGCCATAAACTGGCAGGACTCAGGACCCTTGTCAGTCTAACTGGGGAAAATAGCTCCATAGAGGATGTTTTTTCTCTTCTCTCCCTCCCAGCCTGCTCTCCCTTCACCTGACTCTAGACTAAAGCTTCAGGATGACTACATGGACATTCTCTGGTCTCCCCCGCCCCTTCTGTGTGCGCTCATGCTCCACACAGCAGCCAGAGGGGGCACACCCACCCTGCTCACAACCCTCCCGTGCACCCGTGCTTTCCCAAAGGCTGGCGCTTCCCAGTCATCTCATCGCATCTCTCACCACTGTCCCCAACCTGAAGACCTTGGCCACCCTGGCTGGCTTGCCCTTCTTCTGACACACCAGGCGAGGAGAGTGCACTCTTCCCAGACCTGTCATTGAGCTCAAAGGGCCCTCTCCACACCCGTCAGTCCTTCTCTCTACCTGCCACAGCTCCCAAGCCCCTCGTGTGTTTTTATTTATTGTCTGTACTCCTCATTAGGAGGTAAGCTGTGGAACAGCAGGAACTGGTCTACATTCTTCCCCAGTGACTTCCAGAGCCCAGCAAATTGTAAGTGCTCAATAAATACTTGTTGAACGAATGAGGGAAATGAACAGATTCCTTGGGCAGGGACCCATCTCCAGATTGCCTTGAATACCTGAGAAGTGCAGCCAGCATTTTCGGCAGGCCCTGAGGACCACCCCAGTGTGGAAGCTTACCTGGCTTTTCGTTTTCTGCTAGTGGTGGTGTCTTCATCTTCTTCGGTGATTGACTACAACAAAATGCAAAGGAGAGGGTGGGAAGGTCGTTCTGGAAACCTCCAGGTGGCAGGGTGGGCAGGGAAGTGAGGAACTGGTGCAGGTGCAGTCAGCTGTCTGCTCTAGGGGGAGACAAGAGTCACCTCTTCTGAGAACTAGAAAGAGTCTGTCCGTGGCTGACACCCAAGGGGCCTAATTGCATCACCCCAAGCAGGACACAGACAACAGTGGCTTCACTGCCCAGTGTGGCCACCAGGAGCCAAGACCTTGCTGGCTCGGGAGCCATAAGAGATGCCTGCTATATTATCCCTCCCCCCAACCTGGAGAAGGTCATTCAATTGTTCCTGAGCCTATTTCCTCATCTGTAAAATGGAGTGAACTGTCCTGTGGCCTGGAAATATGTCAAATACACAGCCTTGTTAGGCAAACATGGCACTCAGTCCTGCTGCTCTCTCTGTTGACGTTTGGGCTCCACTCACCTGCTCTGTGAGGCCTTTGAGCCATCAGGGCACTTAACCCTGGTGTGAAGGTACTTTAGGATGCCTGAGTTAGTATTCCCCTTGACCTGTGTTGCCCATAGACAAGCTCTTTGGGAGGGCTAAATGTGGCTCATCCAGCCCTATTTTCTTACAACTGACCCCAACAAGCCCTTCAGCCACACAGCTGACAGTGGGCAAGGGCTGGTATGGCTGCAGAACTAAGAGGGATGTCCCCAAGGGAGGGGCTAGGCCCTCTGAGGGCCAAGGGAGGGCTGCAGAACTTACCTGCAGGGTGCTTGATTTTCTTGAAGTTCTTGGACTTCTTCCAGCTGGTTTAGGAGTTTTTTTGTCGGCATGGTGGTCAGTGGCTGGGGAAGGAGCTGAGCCACGGCTATCTGCAGGAGCCCCAAAGCAAGGTCCTTCTCTGAAAGCACATCGGGGGCCACATCCTCAGCCTCCAGCCCCCACTTCCTGTCCTGGATGAGACAGCCCCTCCAGCTCTTTCCCAAGCCTGGTTGAGGGCAGCTTTCTCTCCCTCTCCTACACTCTGCCCACAGGTTCCTACTTTTCTTCTGGCCTCTGTGTATAAACAGTGCCTGGCCCTCCCACGTGGTCTTCCCACCACACCAGCATGTGTGTGCCTTGTTCTTGGCCCCATCTGGCTCTCCTGCCTGCCACACCCTGGCCCCCTCTGGGAAGCCTCCTGGAAACTTCATTCTTCCTCCTCCTCTACTCCCCTGTCAAGGGAGTCTTTTCCAATTCATCATCACTACTCATCCTTCCTCAGGTGCACCCTCCACCCACAGTGCCAAAGTGCACCTGCATGTATATTCGTGTGTTCCTGTGCACACATGTGTGAGTTCTCGTGTGTGTATTTGCAGCTGTGCATGTGTGCCCACACATGTGTTTCCCACAGTAGTGTGTGAGAGGCCGTGTCTACTAAGCACAGTCTTTGGATTTCTCCCTCCCAGGTGCCTAGGCCTGGGGTCAGTGTGAAGAAGGAGTCCCCTGCAAGGAGCAAGGCCACACAATTCCTGCTGAGGAACAGAGGAAGAGGAAGCAGGGGCAGTGTCTGGCTGGGAAGGATTAGTTCAGGGCCCCAAAACAGAGAGAGACCTTGGCGGGGGCTGAGTGACACCTGAGTCCTGCAGAACCAGAGAACAAGGAACAGGACTTTGGCAGCCTCCACTCAGAGAGGAGGTCATGGAACTGTGTCCTCACCTTTGGGGGGTGCGTAGAGCAGCCAGAACTGAATAGAGCTCAGCGAATCTGTTTGCAGGATCTGACAGAGGAGCTCCAGGATCTGTCGGCAAGAAGACAGCAAATTCCAGCCACAAGCACAGACAGATGCGGGTTCAGAGGGTACCACAGGGCCCCTTCCCCCAGGCTTGGCTAAATTCATCTCATAACGGTCCCTGCCTCCCCTTGGCATTGGACTTTGTCTCACAACAGTCCTGGAGGAAGATTCTTAACCTCCTACCCCCACTGGACAGTGAAAATTTGAGGCTTTGAGAAAAGAGAGCACCCAACAGGGGGGTTGTGGCAGAAAGAAGCCTCAGCTATGTGGACTCCTCATCCCCAGAGCCTACTTGGGCTGGCTGGACCCCGGGGCCCCTCCCTGGGAAGGCAAATTCAGGGCTGTACGGCCAGCTCCTTGGAGACCCACCGAGTCCCACATGCCCTGGTCCTTGGTGTGGGAATTTCGGGAACCCCATAGGATGCCCCACCCTGAAGCTCCCAGAGTCTGGAGATATTAGCAAGGAGATAGGGAAGTCCCAGGGGGCAGCCTGAAGGTGAGTGCTGGCTGCTTCTGCAAACTGCTCAGCTTGGGGCTCCTTCTGGCCGAGCAGTGGGCACACTGGGCTCCTAGCTGCATTCTCAGCCTTTGGCATCTCTGCTACTTCAGGGCTCAGTTTCTCCCGCATTTTCCACTCAAGTAGCATCAGGAAAAGATCCAGATCTGACTCAGATGGGTAATGGGGGCTCCCTAGGCAAGCATGTTGATGGCGTCTGCGGTTACAGTGGGCTCCAGGTGGGAGGTAGAGCCCCTGGAGTCCTAGGAAAGTGGGGTTGCTTCAGTACTTGGTAGTCAGTCTTCTCAGGACCCGGAGGGGACTGACAGTTCCCAAGAGGTCTGCCTTGTTCTTGGCAGAGTGGAATCTGGGCCTGGGCTCTCCCAGGCCTGCTTGGGATCCCACCCTCGTCCCAAGTACCCACCCGCTGCAGTGACCCACCCTGATCTGCCCCTGGACCCTTAACCGTTTTCCGCATCCAACTTACCTGCCCTGTGCCCCCTCCCCACAGGACCTGAGAACCTAATTCCAGGCGAGGCGAGGCCACCCTATGGTGGAGAAAGCACCTTAGTCCTGGCTATGCTGCTGCTTCTCTGGGGAACCGGGGTCACGCATATCACCTGGCAGGGCCTCGGCCTCCCCATCTGCAGCATGAGGGTGCTGGGCCCTGTCTGTGCTGTCCACTTTGCTTCCCTGTTGCAAGGTTGCATGCCTGAAAGCACTGGTCATGAGGGGGGTGGTGGGGTGCTGGCTCTATGTATGACAGTCAGCGTGCATTTTAACAGGGACCTCCAGTGCCTTAACCCACTGGAACAAGGCATGGACTCATCTCAGACCTTGGGGAAACTTGAACATGGAGGAGGTGGGTGCTGTGCTCACTGAAGCACAGGCCAGGCCCTTTCAAAGTGTGGAGCCCCGGCTGGACCTAGCCTTGTAGGCTGTGGGTGCAACCTGGGGGGATGATTTGAGAGCACACAGGACAGGCCTGCCTTCTCTATGCTTCTCAATCCACCTTGTAGCTCCCTTCATCACCTCATCAAATGCCGCTATGGAAACAGACCTTCTGTGGCAATTTTCATGCTCCCAATTTGGGTAGATCATGGAACTAAGGCCAGGGGAGGGAAGGCTTACCCAGAAACCTAGAGGCAGCAGGGCGCTGGAGCCCAGCTTGCTGACTCCCAAGGCTGGGGTTTTCCCTCTCACACTCTTCAGTGCCAGAGTCCCTGGGAGAGGCCATACCCTAGGGCAGCCTGTGAGCGTCCTAAATGAGAAAGCCAGGGGGCTGGGAGCAGAACCCCCCAGACCAAGGTCTTACCAGCAACTCCTGGTCCTGGAAGATGACATCCTGGACTCTTCTGTCCCTGCTGGAAGCGTGGCTCCCCTGGCGAGAGCTACGGCGCCCCACAGATTGGGTGGAAGAGGGGATAAGCCTCCCCGTCTCAGCAGAGTACTTGGCTCCCTGCTCCCGTGAAGGCTCCAGCTTCTGCTGGGACAAAAGTGGCCAGAATCTCCAGGGGGCCGAGAAGAGTGGAGTGACAGCAGAGGGAATAATACAAGGAGTCCAGGTTATGGCTCCAGGACACACACCCCCCCTCCAACATTCCAAATCCCAGCATCACAGCACTGCTAGGAATCTGGTATATCATCCAGGCACTCCTGCCTTGTCCTGGACCTCTGCTTACACATCCCCCAGTCTGCTCCCCTCCCTGGCCAGCCCTTCCTCTGGTTGCTATTTTGGCTTAAACTCGTAAAAGTTCTTCCTCCTGGAACTCAGCACTGGAGGGCTAAACTCTGGCTGCCCCATGATGGTCACTGTTCTTCCTCCCAGGCATGTCCTGAGGGCTGCCCCTTCCCCAGTCCAGCAGCGCCACTAGAATTCCTAGCTCAGCTGCCCCCAGACCTGCCCCAAAAGCTTGGCATTCTTTCTTTGTCCTGGAAAGCCAGGCCTCTGGACACAAGACCTAGGGCCTCTTGCCCTTGCAATTCCACTTAAGACTGGAAGTATTCTTCTCCCCATTTTAAGGATAAGAAAACTGAGATCCGAATAGCTTAGTTGAGTGGCCCTGGATGCTATAGAGAGTGAGCTGTGAGAAGGACAGAGGAATGAGCCCTCTGCCTCTCTACTCTGGTTGCCCAAGATAAGCGGCAGGACCAGACTCAGCTGTAAAGGGCCAAGCTGTCCTCAGAGCGATTCCCACCACTGTCAGGCTACCTTCCAGTTGTCTCAACTGCTTATCACCAAACGGTACCCATGGGGTCACCCCATCCTGGGCGAAAACCTTCAGTGATTCTCTATTCCTTATGAGACCAGTAACTAAACTAAATTTGGAAATTAACAGCAAGCTCCTCCCCACAAAGTCAGCCTCCTTCTCTCTTCCCCACACTGCCTGTGTACACCTGGTCTCTAGAGATGGCTGAGTTCACCTGCCTGGCTGCTGCACTGGTGCTGTGGCCCAGTCCACAGGTGAACTTAGGTATCGGAGACTCCCAGATGCCACATCTCCTGTGAACACTGCTAGGATGTTTTTGTGCAGGTGTGTTCACCTCTCACTGTGACACTCCTCCCTCAAGTCTGTATTAGCTGGTCCCTCCTCCCTGCTCTGACTTAGGAGGCATCTCAGCACAGAGGGGTGGACCCCTGTCTTCTCTTCCCAGACTGTCGCACTTACCTCTTTGTTCTTCAGCTTGCTCTCCTTGGTGAAGACAGCCACCCGGGAAGCCAGCTCCTTCAATTCCTTCTTCCAGGCCTCTGGGAGGAAGGGACAAGTTCCTGCCCACTGATATCTGGAGTGCCCCCCTCCTGCCTGTGGCACCAGGAGTGGAGGAAGAGTCAGCAGCCCTTTCTATTCCATCTTATAGGAAAAAGGGGGTGGTGCCCTTGAGGGAGAGGGTTAGAAGTCACACCATGGGTAAGGGCTGCCTCCTTTCTAGGGGGGACAAATGCCAATGTTACAGCCTATGGCTTACTAGGGGATGCTGGAGATCATTTGTCTGCCTGTGCCAAGATGCATGTGGTTTAATTTAGCTTTGCCTCTTCTGGTCCCTAAAGCCAGGACTGAGATTCAGGGGATATGGCTCAAGATGTGGAACTACTCCTGGAGAGGTTGGCAAAGAGCATTGCACCTCTCTTCCCTGCACTGGAATATTACTGGCTCCTTCCCGAGGGTGCCCCCTACCCCCACCAATCTTACTTCTTCACACCCTGGTAAGGGAAGGAGTAAGGCTTGGCAGAGCAGAGGCCTCCAGGATGCTGCTCCAGCATAGTGGCAGAGTATGCTATTGGCCAGTGCCCACCGAGCACACAAGTGGCTAAATATTTCAAATTGCATTCCTGTCTGTAGCTGCAAGTCATATGACTGCAACCATGAAATCTGCTTGTTCTTTGCTTGTTGTTATTCCTTAAGCATCTCAAGTCCAAGGACAGTGCATGTCTGAGGGCTGGGACCTGGGGATGGGGCAGGGTAATATAGAGATGAGGCTGCTTCAGGAAAGAAGGGAAAAGTAAGGCCCCTCCAGCAAACTCCCCCGACCTAAAAGCAATGGCCCTTTGCTTCTCAGGCACCCACCCAAGGGGGTAGCTTAGAGAGCGTATGGCCCAAGTACCCACCAGAAGAAAGCCAGGGGTTCCGGTTGGACTGCGGGTCTCCAATGGGGAAGGAAGTGGTAGGCAGCCCCATCGGATAACTGGGTAAGGATGCAGACTGAGGTAAGGGACTGAGAAAGAGGTCGTCCCTGACGGTACAGACGGGCTTCCCGGTGAGATCTGTGAAGAGTGAGAGATGTGGAGAGAGGCCTGGGAGGAGCCCCCAGAGTACCAGGAGGTGGGAAAGAGGCTGGTGGGCAGGGAGAGCTCTGGCTCCACTTCTGATAACCATGAGCCCATAGACCAGGGGTTCTCAACCTGTGGGTCACGACCCACAGGAACTGTATTAAAGGGCCGTGGCATTAGGAAGGTTGAGAACCACTACCACAGACTGTCAGAGCTGAGAGGGCTCCTGTGACCTCCTAGACCAATAATCCCCTTGCTTAGAATTACAGTTACAAGGCTGCTTAGAATGGACAGGGAGGAAGGGACCTCCTAAGGGTCACACAGTGAGCTGGGCAGAGATGAGACAAGAACCCAGGTTTCCTGGGACCCTAGTTCTAGATACCTTTTGATTTCCCATGACGGAAAAGAATTGCAGGCGTGAGTGCACAGGGGTAGACAGCTTAAAGATGAGGATGTTAAGTCATTGTCTGTGAGGGGAGAGGCCTGGACTCAAGTCACAAGGAAAGAGATTGAACCAGACCAGAAACTTTGGCTTTCTGTCAGGCTGAGCAAGGCTGTGTGCAGGGCAGCTTGGGGGTGATGGAGGGCAGATTACATGTGAGGACTCTCTGGCCCAATGCTGGTGACTGTTACATTAGTCTCGATAGTTAGGCCCTGAGGACCAACCGGGTTAGGCTCAGCCTGGTTGCCCTCTCCTCCCTGAAACACTGGTGCCCAGACCCTCACTCTCTGGGCTTCTCCCAGCTCCCTGCCTCTCATTTCCTCTGCTGATTTCTTCTAATATTTTCAACCTCTTAAATTTGAGGTCCCCACGGCCCAGGTCTCAGATTCTTCTCCTGTACCTTCAGGGACTCCTGAATGATCCCACCCAGACACTCCACTTAAAACACCAGTTCTGAAACAGCTCTCATGCTGGTATCTCTGCCCTGAACTCCAGACCCGCCCTCCAACTGGAGGCATCTCACCTTTTACCTCTTCCAAGACCAAAGCCTTGACTCCTCCCTCACCCTCTACCGGACCCTATGTAGCCTTCCTTGTCTGTGCCAATGCACTCTCGTTTCCACCTGTGCAGGCCAAGAACCCTGGAGTCAGCCTGGATTCCTTTTCCTCTCGTACCTCACTCTAACCCATCATCACGTTTTATTGGCTTTACCGTCTATGTAGGTCTAGAATGTCTAGAACAGGGTCTGAGCCATCCTCAAGACGGAGCGGGGTGACCTGTCTCGGTGGCCTGATCTGTTAAAATCTCTCACTTCTCCCACTTCCATGCTCTCAAATTTCCAATGGTTCTGTTCAACTCAGTGAGGAGTGAATGGTGACAATGTTGGCCCACATGACTGTGGCCCTCACAGCCTCCCTAATGCCTTTTCTCCCCCTCCTGCTCTACTCCAGCCTAGCTGGTTCTGGCGTCCTTGCTGTTTCCTATTCCTCCAGCGGAGCCGGGGCACGCTTGCCTGCAGGCCTGAGCATTTGCTGCTCTGTCTGCATGAGCCAGCCTCCTCTGCAATATGCACGCTTCCCACACTCCTTCCTGCAGGACTTTGCTCCAATGTCATATTATTGGCCAGGTCTTCTTCAACCACCTTTTAAATGCAGCCATCTCCCCTGTGCAGCCTTGACACTTGGGATCCTGTCCACCCCATCCCTTCCTGCTAGGGGTCAGCTCCAGGAGGGCAGCCACTATGTCTGTCTTAACTTCAGGGCCTAAAAAGTCCCCGACTCATAGTTTACACTCAGTAAATATGTGACATACAGATGGGTGAGTGGATGAAATGATATGTGACATACAGATGGGTGAGTGGATGAAATGCTCTCAGAGGACAAGTGTCCAGCTCTGGGCAGAATATTCAACCCCTTCTCTGGTTTGCAAACTGGAGAATCCGGGGGGAAGGGGATCCCGCAGAGGACCTGCCACCAGCCCATGGTCTTGTGCTTCTCTCCTGTCCCCCAAGCCGAGTCCTGGCATGGTCACCTGGCAGCTCTGGGAACCTGGCCAGGCCCTTATACTCTCTGAGTTCCAGCCTGAAAACAGAGACTGCAGCCCGAACTTCCTCCCCAGTCCTCAAGCCCCATTAATGATGCCCCATCTGCCACTGTCCAGCCATGTCCTGGCTAAGCTGGTCCTACCTTGGATGTGTGTCACATGCTGGGGCTGGGGGTGGTGTCTGGAGAAGAAGGAGTGGTGGCTGAGGCGGCCAAAGCGGTAGGCGCCAGGAGTCAGGGGTTTGGGGGTCTTCAGAACCTCTGGGATCAGCTCGAAATCCACAATCCCTGGAATCACCAGCTCCTTCTGTGGCCTGTCGTCCGCATGGTTCCTTGGACTGTTCCCTGACTTCTTCTCAGGTTTCAGCTCTGCCTTTCGACTGAAGGAGAGGGTTTGAGGAGACACTAATGGAGCCTGCTCTGGCAGTGGTGCCCGTGTGTGCTCGGAACTCAGTGCTTATCGCAGAGTCCACTCTCAGGCACCCTGAAACCTGGTTTCCTGGATTTCACCACCACCCACTTGGCCCCCCCAAACTGGGCCTCCCAGAGTCCTTTCCCAGCTGATGTAATCCAGTTCCCCTGTCTTGCTGAGATGCGTTAGCAGGGAGCTAGGATTCATGTGCAGGAATTCAGTTGGACTGTCTCAGGACCCCAGTGTTCTCCCCGAGACCAATGTCTAAAACAAGAAAGAGAAGCCACAAACCTACCTCCTCACCCATACACCTGGAATGGAGCAAAGTTATCTTATATATACTGCCTAGGTTCAGGGGGTTGACTCAGCAAAAGCCTCTCCCCAGGCCAAACTGTTGACAGCCCAGAAGACAGCTATAGGCTGTCACCCCTCCCCCATGCCCTCAAGTGCACTCTTGGCTGAGATTCATTGTCCAGGGGCCAAAGCTGGAGCATAGGCCAGTCCAGACCAGTGCGTCCTTTCCCGTGGGATCCCTCCCGGGAGATAGGGCAGCTCATGTGGTGGCTAGCAGGGCTGTGAGGCTGTAGGGAAGCTCCAACCTCCTGCTCTGCTTCACTGGGAACAAAGTTCTTGGATTCTCAGTCCTCACCCAGCACCCTCCCCCTCCTGAGGACACATGCCTCTGCCTGGAGAAAGAGTTTGAGACCACTCCCCGCCTGCTGATAGCTGCTGAGACCACCTGCAAGGTCTCTGTCTGCTCTCCCTTCTCCAGATGGCCCTGGCTGCAGGGAGTCCCTCCGAAGGAGTACAGGTGGACTCTGGAAATGCTAAGCAAGTCGATCTGTCCCTGGACCCTCTGAGGACTTCGCTGACCAGGCCCCTGAGTTTCCCGTTCCATTGTCCATTTGCCTGTAAGAGATCTGGGACTTAAAGAAATAAAGTAAAACTCTGAAAGTTGCAGTTAGCTGGCCTCCTCTACCCCCTGCTAACAGAGGAAGTCACCTCCTAGGAACCCCTAAAATTTCTGTGCTCTGGGCTCCTGCTTGCATCTTCTTCCTACCTAGTGAGGGGCCCCACCGTAACCTGGACTGACTTGGGCCTGAGGACTCAATGGGGGGCTGGCTAACTACCAGTGGGAGGTCAAATGCCTGTCTTGAATCACCAGTCTATTGAGTTTCCCCAAGGCCACCTTTGTCTTCCACCCTGCCTCTCCCCCCTCAGTCAGCATTTGGGGCCTTACTTCATCACAGGGTCTTCATCCAGCTGCACGTCCATAGCCATTGTATGGTTTCCGATGGAACAGAGACCAACGCACTAACTATTAGTGCTGGAGGAGGATAGCAGGAACTTTCATAGGCTGGTGGTGGGAGCGTAAACAGGAACAGACCCTTCAAGGGGGAAAAATGGCAATATTTTGTAAAATTAAACATTTGCATGCTGTATTATTCAGCAATATCTCTCCCAAATATAAGAGAAACTCTTGGAGCATGCAAGAGGAGCTAATTATAAAAATATTCATACTAACATTGTCCAAAATACCTAAAACCTGGTGACAACCAAAATGTCCCCTGGCAGAAGAACAGATATGTAAGCTGTGGTCCGTTTAGACAACAGAACATTTTATTGCTATGACAATAAATGAACCACAGCTACATATGACATGGATGAATTTTATACAATGCTAAGTCAAGGAAAGCAGGTTCCAGAAGACAACATAATATGAGGTCCTTTCTAAAAATAAAAGTTCAAGGGCAAGCAAAATTATCATAAATGTAACAAAACAACAACAACCAAAAGTGGGGAAATGCTAACCACAAAGTTCAGATAGTGGCCGTCTCTGAGGTTGGGCAGGGAGGGGAGATGGGAAGGAGATGTGTTAGTGGCTGCATTCTAGTTCCTGGTTTGGGGGGTGCATTTATTGATGTTCTTTCTATTATTCAATAAGTTAGTTAAATGAAATGGACAAAAGAGGCTCGGCGCCTGTGGCTCAAGCGGCTAAGGCGCCAGCCACATACACCTAAGGTGGCGGGTTCGAATCC